GTCCCTGTGTGTGTGTACATGGAGGTACAGGTGTCTGTGTGTGAGCAATAAATACGTGTGTGTGCATATGTTTGTGTGAGCAGTGCATGCCTGTGAAGGTGCATGTGCGTGCAAAAGCCAGAGGGTGACACCAAGCATCTTCCTCATTCACTCTCCACCTTTTTTTTTTCCATTAAAGGTTTTTATATTTATTTTATGTGCATGAGTGTTTTGACCGCACGTATGTGTGTGCACGTGTGTTCCTGGGGCCCACAGATGAAGAGGGGCTTGGATCTCCTGGGACTAGAGTTACAGACACTTGTGAGCTGCTAAGCAGGCGCTGGAAACTGAACCCAGGTTCTCTACAACCCCCGAGCCATCTCTCCAGACCCTTATTTATTTATTTATTTATTTATTTATTTATTTATTCATTCATTCATTCATTCATTCATTCATTCATTCATTCATTTATTTATTCATTCATCCATCCATCCATCCATCCATCCATCCATCCATCCATCCATCCATCTATCTATCTATCTATCTATCTATCTATCTATCTATCTATTTATTTATTTATTTATTGTCTCACCCCCAAGCCCTGGGGTTACAAATACGTGCCACAATAACCGGATTTTAAAGTAGGTGCTGGGGATCGAACTTGAGTCCTTGTGCTTATAACAGCAAGCCCTTTATCTACTGAGCCACTTCCCAGACTCCTTGAAGACCCCTGCTTGTGATTTGTCTTGCAGTTCCTGTCACAGTGGTGGGATGATGAGAAGCCAGAATGGTGGGGCCCTCATGAGGCAAGGGTGTCTGGAAGGGGTCCTCGGGAGGTGCCTCTGAAGCTCGCTAGGGCTGTGTGGAGGTAGTGGAGGTAGGAGAGGGCCAGTGGCATTCTTAACCTCTGGATACCGAAAGAAAAAGGTGTTTGGTAGATTTCCCAAAAGGTCACACCCGAAGCTGAAACTTGCTCTGGCTTAAAGGAGATACAGTGACTTTTAAAGTGCTTGTGTCCTCACGTCACCTGCAAGGAGGTGACCCTCGGGGGTGGGCCTCATTGCTCTGAGTAGGCCCTCCTGTCAAGCATGTAGAATGATTTGAAAACCATTGCTCATAAGGGGTCCAAGGCTGGATTGGCCAGGCCTTGGTGTGACAGGCTGATGGGGACACATCCAGAGTTCCAAATGGAGTAGGTAAGGGTGCTTGTGAGTGTTTGCCTCATCTGGACAGCGCTTGGGCACTGGGCTTAGGGTGAAATGGCCCTGTAGCCATAACAGATTGGGACCCCATTTTTGTGTTCTCAGGACTGCTGTGCCACAAACAGGGCATTCTTTTCAGAATGGTGGGGGCGCCCAGAGCGACACTCTGTGTCCCCAGGTCAGGTGGGTGACTGGTACAGTGAGTAGCAGGCTAGGCTGGGCACTGTAGTACCTGGGAGGGAACAGGTAGGAACTGCTTAATGGGGGGTTGGGGTTTGATGTTTGAGTAGTGGACCACAGGACCTGTCATCCCATCGGTGTCTTGGCTACTCGCTGCTCCTGCTCTAAGGCTGGCCCTTAGTTTGACTGTGGGGTACTGGAAAGGAGGTTAATATCCCTCATATTTATCCGGGACATTTGTCTCAGAGTCCTAGCCTGCCATTTTTATTATGGGAAGGGGACCCATCTAATGATTATCAGTCACTGCTTTTTTTGGGATCAGGAACAAGACCTGCAAACACCCACCACTCAGCGCACAAGCTGCCTGGCAAGCTCTGAGTGTAGACCAGGGGGGCATGAGTACTGGCAGCTGTGGGCACATCCCAGCTGCTGCCAGATCACAGGACACAGCAAGACAGGACACCATCCTTGGAACAGATGAGCTACGCCCTGCCCTGACTTTCTCATGCCTTTTCCTTCATAGCAAAAGATCCCTGGCGGGCAACCCGCTCCCAGTGCCACCATCACACAGGCACGGAGCCAGCCTGGTCTGGAAGAACTGCCCTCCTCATCTCGTCTTTGTGGACCTTCTAACCTTGCCGGCAGTGTTTGAGAACACATACCAGAGAAATGTTAGCATTCTATTCTGTGGGGGACATAAAGGACCCAGATTTCCCGCCTCCCGGTCAGTGATTTGCCAATGTCCCTCACCTGTTCTCAGTTGCTGTGGTTGATGTCATCAAGTGTCCCCGTGGCCATCCTGGTGCGTGGACATCTGTCCGTATGGTCTAGACTGCATAGCAGAGCACATGTTGGAGGGGCACCCTGCCCCGAGAGGACCAGCCGCTGTCTCCTCCAGGGCCCTGGGCCCCTCTTCACTCACTTGTCCCTATTGACATCTGTGGCTGACAGTGTCAGCTTCCTGTGACGTGACACTGGTGCAGAGGTGGCCTTGTCTGCTCTGCAGGGATGCAGGCCTGACTGAGGGAGCACATCCCCACCGACAGCTCCGTTTTCTGATAGGAAGCCACCCGTTTTGGAACTGTCCTTTTGTGTTTACAGAGCCTCGCCCCTTACTTCCCTCTAGCTCTGCCCAACCCCTAGCAGAGTGATGCTATTTCCTAAAGCTGACATTCCCATCCCTGTGTCCCTCTCTTCCTGCATCCCTGACTCCTTGTCCCTCACTGCTTCTTGGCCTGCTCTCTTCCCGCTGTAGCTCTCTCAGAACCTCCCCAGCCATTAGCCCGACCACAAGACTTCCTCAGCACCTCCCTGCTGGGCCTGCATCCCTCCTGACAGCCCATGTGACTTACTCTGGTTCTTTATTTTCTGCCTCCCGGTCCACCCCTGAGTTATGCTCATGGGTTATCTGGATGATGCTGATTTTAGAGCTTTGTTCCTCCCGAGGGACAGTGCCAGTGTCACATGAGCTATGGTGTGGCTTATGAGCTGCAGCAGCCATGGACTGTATGTGGGCCACGTGGCGTGATGGTGTCCCTGCTGCACCACAGCCTTTGGGGTCTGGCCAGCAGAGCATGTGACGTGTTAGGACACTGCTCTCTTCTTCCTGGGGCTGAGACTCCCTTTGAATGTGTAAGATGAAGCGTTACTCATGAGTATTCCTTCAAGTGAGTCGTCCAGTGGTCACTGGTGCATTTTAGTTATTTTGTGACATAATGCGTGACCTTTGCCTCTCTCGTTCCTCTGAATAGTGGAAGCTTATCTTACCCGCTCTTGTGCCTAGCAGCTGTGACTTCTATCTCCTGTTTCTCACGGACAGTCACAGTTGTGAAGTTAGGGCACTGGGAGACGCCTGGAGTCTGCTCTCAGGAATCCTTACACTCAAAGCACAGGTTGTGTTACCAAAGGGTCCCTGCCTCATGACTGTTCTGTCCCCACGACTGGGCACCTGTTGTGAGCCTGGCAGGTGATCTGTAATTACACAGAGAAGTGCCCCTGTCGCCTCCTGGTGTTGCAAGAAGTAGATAGAGTTCAGGTGGATCCAGGGTCACAAGCGGTGACTCTGGCGAGTCTGGTGAGGGGGCTCCTTGAGGCCCAAATACCCCCAGAAATGGGGAAGGCGGGTAAGCTTCAGAAGTAGGCAGGGGCTGTGTCGGAGAACTGGCTGCTGGTTGGCGAGGCTGCTTGCTGCAGAGGTGTCCAGATGTGTGCTACAGGGGCTGTCCTGGGCAGCACTCACCTGTGCAGAAATGGTGAGAAGCTGTGTGTGTGTGTGCAGGGGCGGGGGTGGAGTGTGGGAGGCTGTTATCAGGGAAGGGAGAAGCAGAAGGAGCTAAGAACTAAATATTGGAGACACAATGGTGAAAAAATGGGAATCCCAGGAGGGAGCTATCTGAGGAGAGCTGAGGGTGGCCCCAGACCCAGGGTGAGCACAGAAGGCTCTACACAGCACTGGGCTTGATCCTTCTCAGTTCAGCCTTTCCCCAGTGTGTGTGTGTGTGTGTGTGTGTGTGTGTGTGTGTGTGCGCGCGCGCGCGCACGCATGTGCGTGCACGCCTGTGGAGACATGACTACAATCCTTCCATGGCTCAGATTGCACCTCCCCAGGTGCTGATGACCCAATTTCCCTGGCAACAGCTTGAAAAGGAACACAAAAGGATCATGGGTGCTACCCAGCGTGGTTTGCTAATTCAGCTGCTGGCAGGGATGCAGGATTTTAGCTAGACTGCAGGGTTTGGAGCCAAGCTAGGAAGCCAGTAGGTAGCAACGCCTTTCTGTACAAAAATACACCGTGATTCATAAAGAAGCATTGGGAGTCCAGCCTGTGTTCAAAGAGGACATTACTGTCTATAATCTTCTCTGCCCTCCTGAGCACAATGCTTCAGCCCACAGCTTCAGACGGGCCTGTCATTTACCATGGCTCTGTGCCCGTGCAACAACTTCCTTTTGAACCAAGCCAAGTAATTGCAGCATGCTTCATGCAAGTATGGGTCAGTTCTACCTCTCTCTGGGCTCCTGGTTAAAGAGCTATTTTTGCCACCAGGCATGATGGAGCACACTCATAATCCAGCTCTCAGGAGGCTGAGGCAGGAGGATTGAGAGCCCATGGCTAACCTAGGATACATAGTGAGACCTTACTTATCTCAGAGCAACAGAACCAAACCGATTGCCTGGAGCCGTCATCCTCTAGGCCAGTGGTTTTCAACCTTCCCTCGTCCCTTTAATACAGTTCCTCATGTTGTGGTGAGCCCCCCCACCATAAAAATTTTTTGTTGCTATTTTGTAACTGTAATTTTGCTACTGTTATGAATTGTAATGCAGATATTACATTAATATAAACGTAATGATTTTATTTGTTGGGAGGGGGTGTGTGTGCCATGGTGTGCTCGTGGAAGTCAGAGGGCAACTTGTAGAAGCAGTTTTTCTCCTCCCACCCTGAAGATCCTGGGGACCCGACGCAGGTCATCAAGCTTGGCCACAGGCACTTTTACCTTGCCGAGCCATCTCGCCAGTCACAGCCTTCCTTTTGGTTTGGGGTGTCTAATGAGAGCAGCCATGGGTCTCCGCAGCTCCAGAGCTGGGGGCCTCTGTCTGTGTAACTCTGATGGGTCCTTGAACCTAAGCGTGTTGTCGTTGTAGATACCTTCTCGGTGCCAGTGTCCGAGATCATTGCTGTGGAGGAAGCGGATGTCCATGAGAAGCAGTCCTCCAGCAGCCGATGGCAGAAAATGGAAAATCCGTTCGCGTTCACAGGTGAGGGCGCCTCAGTGTTTGCCAGGGCCCCCCTTCAGCTCCGTGCAGACTGCAGAGAAGGGTACTTACCAGGCCAGTGATTGGCTCCTCTTCATAGACTCTCTCTGATAGCACCTACTCACCACCTACTTTTTGGAGTGGGGAAACGTCTCAGAGTGTTAAAAGTGCCCGCTATGTGTCGCTAAAATTCTCCCTTCTCCTAGCGTCCCATCGACAAACCCAGGCAGCTTAGCACCAGAGTTCATCCAGGGGAACCAATGCATTTACTGGGCTTCCTTTACAGAGCCTAGGTGAGGAGCGTGGGTGTCCCTGTCCCAATAGGCTGTGCCTGGAAGATCTCACCCAGCAGGGACAGAGCGGGCAGCTTTAGCCACCCTGGCCTGTTTGTGTTTTGGCCCCGCCCCCTGACCTCGTGCAACCTCGCCAGCCTGTGGATTAGAGCGCAGCTGGGCTGTCTTACCTCTACAAAGGGGGTGTAAACCCCGCTGGGGGTGTGATCTTTTGTAAGAAAGCACAGCTGAACTCCCCAGGATGAGAGGTGGAGACCTGGAGGTCTCGCTCCCAACAGCCTCAGACCCTGCTAACCAGTGTCGGTTTCTGTACAGTCCACTGTGTGAAGCGAGCACGGCCACACCGCTGGAAGTGCGCCCAGGTGACCTTCTGGAGCGCCGACGAGCAACTGTGTCACCTGTGGCTGCAGACCCTCCGTGAGCTGCTGGACAGCCTGAGTACGTGGGCGAGCTTTCGGATTTGTTGCCAGGCAGCACAGCTGTGGTGGCACGCGAGACTCAGTGACCTGACCCAGGTGGACGTGACGGATCCCTTTGATTTGTTTTTGTGTTTCCTACTTAGAGGGTCACGGTGGAGTAGTAGCAGTGTGTAGATCTGCAGCCGAGGTGCGGGCTCAGCCCCTGCTTACCAGCAGCGAGACTGGAGCAAACGCCTTAGGCCCCTCATCAACGTTCAGGGAGAAGCGGGCTTGTGACTTCCTTTCTGTGACATCTCTGTCAGGTTTTGCCTGGGAGGTCACCGTTACTTAGCATGAATCACTCAGAAATGCTTCTTTTCCTGTCCTTTGGAAAAGGTCACCCATGATGAAGATTGGTTTTCTGTCCCTCCCTCCCTCCCTTCCTTCCTTCCTTCCTTCCTTCCTTCCTTCCTTCCTTCCTTCCTGTTTTTGTTTTGAGACCGGGTTTCTCTGTATACCTGGCTGTCCTGAAACTCACTATGTAGACCAGGCTGGACTTGCAGAGATCCGCCTGCCTTTGCCTCCCGGAGTGCTGAGATTAAAGGCAGGTGCCACTATGCCTGGCTAAAACTGGTTTTCTTTAGCAGGTTGAGGAACTTCAGTGGTGAAACTGTTTAGGCCTGGGAATTCTTAGTAGGAAGGCATTTATTTATCTCTGTATATACATGCGTGTATAGAGGCTAGAAGCTGACTTCAAATCAGGGGTTTTCCTCTGTCACTCTCCATCCTGTTTTTTAAGACAGGGTCTCTCACTGAACTTGGTGCTCAATGATCTGACTAGACTGGCTGGCCAGCCAGCCTTTCCAACTCTGGGACTTCACTTGGCTTTTCACTGTTTTGGGGTTTTTTGTTTGTTTGTTTGTTTGTTCATTTTGGTTTTTTGCTTGTTTGGTTTTTTGAGACGGGGTGTCTCTGTGTAGTCCTGGCACTTGCCTTTTACACCAGGTTTGGGATGGCCTCAAATTCACAGTGATCTGCCTGCCTATGTCTCCCCAGGTCTGTGCCACCAGGCCCAACTTGGCTTTTGGATTTTTTGGGTTTTGTTTTGTTTTGTTTTGTTTTTTGAGACAGTGTCTCTCTGCTTAGCCCTGGCTAGCCTGGAACTCAATGTAGATTGTAGGCCAGGCTGGCCTGGAACTCACAGAGAGCCTCCTGTCTGCCTCCCGAGTGCTGTCGTTAAAGACGTGTCACCATTGCCCAGCTTTCACCTCACTTTTCTGTGGGTACAGAGAATCAGAACTCAGGTCCTTGTGTGTGGACAGCAAATACTTTACTAGGCTGTCTCCTTGGCTCCGTACCTGGGTTTTCTGATACAACTATAAATGATAAAATATGAAACAGACATATTTTAAGTTTTTTCATTTTGTACTTGTTTGCTTTTACTTGCTTGTTTTGAGAGTAAGTCTAATATACCCCAGGTTGGCCCTGGAATTTTCTGTATAGCCAAGGCTGACTTTGAACTCCTGATCTTCCTACCTCTACCTCCCAAGTATTGAAATGACAGGTGTGTGCCACCACACCTCGCAGACTTTGAAACCTGCATGCCCCCTGAAATTCCCTCAAGGTTTGGCCTGTCTGCCTTTCTCTTTTTCTTCCCTTCCTTTTCCTCTTTTCTTTCTCTTTCCCCTCCCCACATCCCTCAATCTTTTATCTTTTTTTTTTGTAAGACCCACTTCGTACTCCACAAGCATTTTGTCATGAGCTCCACTCCCAATACACTTTATTTCAGCTTTCTCTAGTTAGAAGAGCATCCTCCCAGTTGGTTTTGTCTTTTTTCGAGACTAGAGCTGAGTGTGAATGGAGTCACATGGATGAGCTATTTTGTATATACATCCTGGATGTATTCAGGGTGCATATCCTTGGTGCTTTTGGCATCTGTCCACTTGGTGGTGCCCTATCTATGGGTATGCACCCAACAGTTAGACTCACCCACTTTCTGGGTATTCACCCCACCCTCTGGCTGTGTGCCCTATGGCTGGCCGCTCACCCACCCTCTGGGTATGTGCCCTGTGTCTAGAGGTTAGTCAGTCACTCACTCCATGGGTATGTGTTCCATAGTTAGCTGTTAGCCTCTTACCCACCGCCATTGGTATGGGGCAGCCCTTCACAGCACAGCGATGAACACCCATGTCTTAAGTTTGGGTGTAGATGGATGTCCATCTTGGGTTTCTTCCATCTTGGGTTTCTTTGGGCATCTTCATGTTATTGTGAGTTGATGGACCTAAGTGGCTCTGTACTTAAATCAGCCAAAATAGATGTGTGGGAGGGAGTTTCATAGGAGAGCAGGAAGTCCAGGCACTGGCTGGGCCTGAGGGAAGGATCTCTTCCCATTGTCCATCCAGTCATTCTGTCTGTGTGTGAGTCCGTCTTCCTCTCCTCACGCTCCCTTCTGTATTCCCGCCTCATTCGTGTTCCCAAAAGCCTTGTCCTTCCCGTGGGCAGAAGGAGCTACAGCCATCTGTGCTCACGCCTTGTGAGACCTGGGCAGGACAGGAACCTTCTTGATGCCCCACACGTGTGCAAAGCCCACCCTCATCTCAACAGATGGTCACTTTGCTCCCTTGGTGACCACAAATTCTTTGTCAAAACTTGCCTGCTCTTCACCAGCAGAGCACTAATCCAGTTTGAACTCACTGTGCCCATTGTGATTGACGGGATGTGGGTGTTGTCTTGCAGTTTCAAGGCCAAAGCATTTGCTGGTATTTATCAACCCTTTCGGAGGGAAAGGCCAGGGCAAGCACATCTATGAAAAAAAAGTGGCACCTCTGTTCGCCTTGGCTTCCATCTCCACGGAAATCATCAGTAAGTGTTTTGGGCACCGGGGCAAATGTGCAAGGGCCACCTTGAGAGGGACTCCCATTGCCGCTGCTGCAGGAGGCTTTATCCTAGCTCTCAACCTTCCTAATGCCGAGACCCTTTAATACAGTTCCTCCCTGGTGACCCCCAGCCATAAAAGTATTTTCACTGCTACTTCATAACTGTAATTTTGTTACTGTCATGGGTCACAACGTAAATATCTGATATGTGACACCCAACACCCATGGGGGTCGCGACCCACAGGTTGAGCACCGCTGTGCTAGACGGTCATTTTAAACTCAATGGAAGTTTTTATACACTCAGTTGGAAGAATGCAAAAGAGATAATGTACTTTGCCTATAAAGTACTTGTGGGAACACAGGGGAGATAAAAAAAGAATAGAGTTCTCAGGCAGGAAGTCCCTGCAGGAAAAGATACAAGTAGTGGACAGCTCAGAATGTCACATCGTAGGTCATTTTACAAAGCACGACTTAAAGCCATGTCATAGCACTTTGTCATCAGTGCAGTACTGGTTTCAGAGGGGGACACAGACATGGTCCCCTGCTCCTGCAGGCCTTCAGGGGCTTGGTGCAGCTGGGCAGGGCTGGAACCCCAGAACTGAGCAGGCTGAAGCAGGAGGACTAGATGTTGGAGGCCAGCTCGGTTACATTGTAAAACTTTACCAAAAAAAGAGGGGGGGGGTTCTTAGCAGTACAAGTCAAAAGTCTCAAAACGAAGAGGTTATCCCAATATGCCATACTTCCCAAATCTGAGCACAGTCGGGTATTCACCAAGACTGGGACATTCAGGTATCCTTGGCATGCTTCATGATAACAGGAAACTGGCAACAACGCAAATGTCACCAATAGGAGGTGTGAACCTGAAATCATGGTGGCTCCAAGGGAACAATATACAGCAGCTCTATTAAAGGAGCAGTTCAGATTGCAATGTGGGAAACCATAGACACAGAACCGTGTGAGCAGTAAATTTCACTATCAGTTTTGCTTTTTCACATTAGTCACAAGGACTGTGGGCTAGCCTTATCTCCTTACATTTTGGTGTATTCTAAAAAATTAAAGTAACTTGTATATTAAGGAATAAGTATAACAGAAGCTGCACTTAACTGCTCTTAAAGAAATTATTTATTGAGGCTGGAGAGATGGCTCGGTGGTTAAGAACACTAGCTGCTCTTGCAGAGGACCAGGATTCAATTCCCAGCACCCACCTGGCAGCTCACAACCACCTGTAACACTCACCTCTTCTGTGGGCACTGAATGCACCTGGTGCTCATACATACATGCAGGCGGACACTCATGCACATAGGTTAAAAACAAAGTTACTTGTTGACCAGTGCCAAGAATGTCAGGTCTCGACTGGTAGAATGGATCCTGAGATGCTTGTTTCCCACGGAGGCCGCCTTAGTCTTACTCTTTTGTAAGAGGGAGGGAGATGAGTCTGGGCGGGGGGGAGACTGCCTGTGGGAAATCTTCCCATGACTTTCTGGGATCCCTTATAAAATAGCATCAGTTGGCAGTTAGCTCACACACAGGTGCCGAGCTGTGACGCTAAACCGTCCCATGCGCTGTTTTCCCCACAGTTACTGAGCATGCTAATCAAGCCAAGGAGACTTTATATGAGATCAACACAGACAGCTATGATGGGTGAGTTACGCTTGTTTTTCCTGCGCTCACAGTGAATGCTAACCAAGACCTACCCTGTGGGAGCTCTTGGGTTATCCTGGACTGTGAGCACGCCCTTGGCCTTCCTCCATGTTATGGAATAGAACACATCCCTGTGCACGCTTCTCCGCGCCACCTGCAATCGTCCCCAGCGCTGGACAGCATGCTGTAAATTCTGTCCTGCCCAGTCCACCGTCTCCCCTTAGCTTTCCTTACCCACTTATTTTACCTGGCTTTCACTTGGTCCCCTCTGCCCCTGCTTCCTGAGTTCCCAAGACTGTGCCCAGGGCAGGGGGTTGACAACAGAGGCCGAGCTCCCCTCTTTTCTGAGGTCCACTTTGGGGTACAGCAAGACCATTCAGTTGGATCAAGAGAAGGGAAGGGTACCACATGTCACCCCGTCTTGGAGGCCCTCCCAGCAGCAGGAACACTACCATACTGGGTTGGCATTCCTGCCTGGCAAGCTTCAATCTCAATACGAAGTGCATGCTAATCTTTAATAGGTATTTTTGCAGTGCTAAGGACTAAACCCAAGGGGTTTGTGTGCTAGGCAAGTGCTCTGCCACGAAGCTACCCCAGCCCAGGTGCTAGCTGTTTTCTTTTTTTTAAACAATTGATATTATGTGTATGTGTGTATGATGGTTTGCCTGCATACATGTAAACGCATGCACTATATATGAGCCTGGTGCCCATGGAGGGCAGAAGAGAGATCAGCAGATTCCCAGGAATTGGAGTTCCAGGCAGTTGTAAGCTACCATGTGGGTGCTGGGAACTGAACCCAGGTCCTCTGGAGGGGCAGTGTGTGCTCTGGATCACTGAACCATCTCTCCAGCCCCCGAAAGCCATAGGTTTTTTATGATGGCTGATCAGCCCCCCCCCCCCCCACGTATCCTCTGTCTAGAAACCCGCCAAAATGCTACATCCCTAGCAGAGAAGCTGGGGTGTGAAAACTCCTATTGTTTGGAAAAGCAGAGTAGGCAGGCTGGTCTGACCTCTTGGCACAGGGAGGGGTTCAGGAGCCCAGTTTTCAGATGTCTGACAGGCCACTCACCTGAGGTCCCCCGGCTGCTGTGAGTAGAGGGCTAACAGACTAACAGACCTATGCTCCTCCTGCAGCATCGTGTGTGTCGGCGGGGACGGCACATTCAGCGAGGTGCTGCACGGGGTAATTGGGAGGACACAGCAAAGCGCCGGCATTGACCCCAACCACCCCAGAGCTGTGCTGGTGCCCAGTACCCTCCGGATTGGCATCATCCCTGCAGGTGTGGTACACAGACGGCGTTCTCCTCGCTGTTGGAGTTAGGAGGAGGTCTGCACGCACAACCACAGGACGTGTCCTTTCATGTGGTCACACACACAATTAGTAACACTTCCCTAGGATTAGGGCTTCAAGTCGAGGGTTAATCATTACGGGTTCATACTTCATTTAAACTGTGATTCTGCCATCAGGAGGCAGAAGCAAGTTGGAGATCATCTTCAGTTACATGGTGAGTTCTGCTGAGCCTACATTAGACTCTGGTTTTCTTTTCTTTTCTTTTCTTTTCTTTTTTGAAGTGGTTTTCCAGGGGCCCAGAGAGATGGCTCAGCAGTGGAGAGCACTGACTACTCTCCCAGGGGACCTGGGTTCAATTCCCAGCACCTACATGGCAACTCATAACTGTAACTCCAGGATCCAGCACCCTCAGGCAGACATACACGCAGGCAAAATGTCAATGCACATGAGATAAAAATAAATAAACTACTAAAAGGTGATTTTTGTAATTTCTCAGAACTACACTGTTATCTGAGATAATGTATGACTAGCAGAGGAACAAGACTGTGTGTCTGGGAAGATGTTTATTCCGGTACCCTGGGAGCCCAGCAGCAAATAGGACAGTCCCTGCTCTTAGGGAACTCACAGTTGGGGACCAAAGGAGCTGCTATCCTGGAGTCAGGGAGGGAAATTTTTCTGTATCTGAGGGAGGAGCTTCATTTGCAGGCTTAGTGAGCGTGCTTGCCAGAGACCCAATCCTCTGTGATGAACGCAGGCTGGCTGAGAGACCCTGAGGGAAGACAATTCAGTTTCCTAGCCTAAGAGGTAGAGCCCTTACTGTTAGCACGGTCCCTTACAAGTCATCCCTTGGCCATCAGAGTGACCTGTGGAACCACGAGAGCCCCCCTATTCTATGCAACTTGCCGCATGAATAATGTGTGATGCTTTAATGGCACAAGCTTTTCTAAACTTTAGTGAGCAGTTCCTATTATTCATAGAGCCTCAGGGAACTGACCTCTGCTAAGTAGGTGCCAGGTCCAAAACCTGGTGTTTCCTGTGGCACCAGGACAGTGAGCTCCAGTTGGCTGCTGGCCTGTGGGTTAGGTAGGCAGAGAACTCCCGTCGTCCTGTGCGTAGGGAATGCCAAGTTACTGTGAGCACAGATCACTCTTCTGAACCTGACATTCAATGCTCTAAGGTCATGCTCGACTGTGCCAGCAGGGTGGGCAAACGAAAGCCTTCGGAGTGGCATCCAGCCTCTTTGCAGAGGAGCAAGTGGACACATGAACCACCCACCCTCAGATGAAATTTGAAAAGATGGCTTTGTGTGACCTCCACCGGCTCCAGCTGGCTCAAAAGTCTGACACTTCTATAACTTCAGTAAAGCATAAAATGAGTTCCTCTGGTAGAATGCTGGTGCTGACTCAGCTCTGACTTCCACCCAGCCCTGTTTCAGCCAGGTGACAGTTCCCTTACTAAGCAGCACACAGGCAGCAGATTCTGGCTTGATGCCACGATGGGGACTGCAGGACAGTGCAATAGGAATATTCGCCCCTGTGTACCCAGCAAAAAGAATTGGGAAGGTACTCCAGCAAAGCTGGGCTCATCCCCGGCTCTACTTCCAGTTAACTTCTCTGTTACTGTGGTAAAACGTCCTGGCCAAAAAGCAGCTTAGGGAGGGCAGGGTTTATTTTAGGGTCACAATCCATCATTAAGGAAAGTCACGGCAGGCACTCAAGCAGGAACTGAAGCAGAAATCACCTCGGGGAATGCTGACAACTAGCTTGCTCATTGGCTCATGCTCACTAGCTGTCTTACACAGACTAGGTTCCTCTACCTAGGGATAGTACCGCCCACAGTGGGCTGGGTCCTCCTGCTTCAATCAAGGTAGCCTCTCACAGACATGGCCACAGGTCAGCCCAGTTGAGACGGTTCATCAACTGAGGTTCCCTCTTTTTCCGGGAGGCTCTAGGTTGTGACAGGTTGACAATAAAAACGAAGACGCCTTTACAGCTGACTTTGTTTGCAGTGTGCTTTCCCGTGATGGTGCTCGACTGGCTGTAAGGAACTACAGCCGGTTATAGAGAAGTGGCCAGGGGCCACATACCTTCCAGAGCCTTACAAGGGAGGGGAGCGACTGGCCGTGTTACGGACATCTCTTAGAAGCTCCAAGAGGGTTCAGGGTGGTCTCTGTGTCCGGGTATGCTGCAGGCCACTTTATGGAGCTGTGCAACATTATTATAAGACCTTTTATGTTGTTTTTGGTTTTTTTGTTGTTGTTTTTTTTTCCACAATAGAGTTTCTTTTGTAGCCTTGGCTATCCTAGAACTAGCTCTATAGACCAGGCTGGCCTCAAACTCAACAGATATCTGAGTGCCTCTGCCTTCTGAGTGCTGGGATTAAAATCATGTACCACCACTGCCTTGGCCAGCCATAAGGCCATTTTTTGTATTTTTAACATTCACCTTGTGGGTGAATTCCTTTCATTCTCCAGCTGTCCCAGGGCCACAGAAGGACAGAATCAGCGTGCCACTCACCGAACTGGAAGTCGGTTACATTGGACAGTTTTGGACAGTTGCGTTCACGCTAAGGGCTTTCCTGTCCTCTTTGCAGGGTCCACAGATTGCGTGTGTTATGCAACAGTGGGCACAAACGATGCAGAGACGTCAGCTCTGCACATCATCGTTGGTGAGTCCTGTCTTCTTTTCCTAAGACTGATCAACTGATCCATTTAACGTGTATGAGGGTTTTGCCTAGGTGCACATCTATATACCATATGTCTGCAGGGTACCTCCATGTGGGTGCTGGGAATTGAACCTAGGTCCTTCCCACCAGCAGCAATTGCTCTTAACTACTAAGGCAACTCTCCAGACACAGGGTCTCTCTGTATAGCCCTGGCTGTCCTGGACTCAATTTGTAGACGAGGCTGGGCCTCGAACTCACAGAGATCCACCTGCCTCTGCCTCCCGACTGCTGGGGACAAAGGCATGCGCCACCATGTCTGGTAACTTTTTTTTTCTTTTAACTTTTAATTGATTCTTTGTGAATTTCACATTGTGTACCCCAATCCCACTCATGTTTCTTCATATCTGCCCCCTGCCCTTGTAATGTCACCAACAAAAGAAAAAAAACAAAACAACCCTCCCCCCAAATCTCCCTGTGAAAGCTGACGTGTGTGAGACCCACAGTATGCCCATTTGCCTAAACAGCTTCACTTGCAAATGACCACTGCAGTGTGTCATTGGTCTGGTTCGAGGCCTCTGGCTTCTGTTTTGCTATCAATACTGGATCCTCACCCAGACTCCTCTCAGATATCCTGTTGTTGCCCTGTGTCGTGGAGGTCCTGCAGCTTTGAGTCTGCAGACCAAGTCCTGCAGGTGCCTCATGCACAGACTGTAGGCCCCAGCTAGTTTCATTGTGGCCCTGCTTTCTCATGATCTCGCTTGATCTCCTCCCTTAGCCAGCTACCAAGAGTAATCCCCACTGTGAAGCACCTGCAAGGCCCCAGGGAGAGTTACTCATTTGAGTGACAGACACACCCAGCCAATGTTGCAGTTCCTAGTGAGAAACCCCATGGGAGGAAGAGCTGTGGGGTTTCTTCAAAATGGCTGGTGCCTCCTCCCAGCCCATCCCTCTTTACATTGTCAAGTCTCATTTGTCATGGAAATGCTGTCTTTTAAAATTAACACTTAGGATTTTATTGTCGTGGGTTCTTGTTGTTGTTGTTGTTGTTTTGTTTTGGAGATAGGGTCTCATTTAGCCTCAGCTGGCCTAGAACTTTCTGTGTAGACCAAGCTGGCTTGATCTCACAGGAATCTTTCTACCTCTGCTTGTTAAGTATAATTTTTATTTATTATTATTATTTTTTTAAGATAAGCCTTTCCTTTACAGCCTAGGCTGGACTCGAACTCACAATGTGCTTGCCTCGGTCTTCTGGGTGCTGGGACTGCAGGGGGGTGAGCCTCCATACGTGGTGGATTTTGTGTTTTGAGTGCTGCGTTCCTGTTTTCGACCTCAAGCCTACTTCTCTTTCAGTTAACATGAATTAACCCCCCCAACTCCACCCCACTCCCACCCCACCCCAGTACACTCCGTTCTGTCCACTCAGAACAGTTCTCAAACCTTGCTTGGAAATCTGAGCCACATTCTTGTCCCTGGAGAGCTCATTTCTGAGGCTCCAAAATATACCCTGGGCCAGAGGTCCAGGAAGGTCGTCCTTTCTGACAGAGGGAGGAGCTTTGGGAGGGACACAGATGAAGCAATGAGAGAGGAAGGGGACCCCGACTTAACCAACCAGATCAGCCGAATCGACCCTGGTGCATGAGGTGGCGTTGACAGATGTCTCAGCCAGATAATTTGTCACTCAGACTGCCACGCCGAGCGTGTTCCGGTCCTCGTGTTTGCGGCAGGCAGACACCCCTGGTATCTTCAGAGTGCTGTCTGGGACAGGGCAGAGGAGGTCCGGGTGGAGACGGGGCTCCCTTACAGCTCTCCTCCCCCCCGCAGGGGACTCGCTGGCCATGGACGTGTCCTCCGTGCACCACAACAGCACGCTGCTGCGGTACTCGGTCTCTCTGCTGGGCTACGGTTTCTACGGAGACTTAATCAAGGACAGCGAAAAGAAGCGGTGGATGGGCCTCGTCAGATACGATTTCTCAGGTATGCCGAGTTCACAGACATCAAGCTCATCCACAAGTAGCTGGCCACCCCAGAGACCGGCAGGGCTCTGGGGCCTGGCTTTCCAGAATGTGAACGTGACCTTGAATCTGGCTAGTGCGACCCAGATCCTGTGCCCCCTGAGAGTCACAGCGTGTGTCCGAACCACACTGGGGGAGGCCCCGGTGGATTGGAAGATTTGTCACATGTCACGTAAGTGGTACTAACCCAAAGGGTCAAGGAAGACGATTTTCATGGAAAAAAAAAAAAAAAAAAAAAAAAAGATCATTTCTCCGATCAGCCTGAGTGTAGCAGTTGAAGCAGGAGGACCCTTCCCTGTGAAGAGGTTCAGCCCTGGGTATCTGTCTTTCAGGCTCAGGTCCACTTCCTCCCCATCCACAAATGCACCGTTTCCCAGAGCTTCTACAGTAGCGTCCATCATCCATTTCAGCTACGTCCTCAAGGACGGGTAACTGTGAGCATGTGTAACTAACTGACCAGGACAGGAGAGTTCTGAGGTCCGCACCTGCCTCAGTGCGACTCCAGCAGGGTAGGGGAGGGCTAGACAGACGTTCCCCGTCCTCCCTTCCCCTCCTATAGCAGCAGGGACTCAGCCCCCATTTCACGGTTGAGACAATAGGAAGTATGCTTGAATGGCTTGCCCAGGTCTGTTGTCATTCTTCCTGCAGCTCAGTGGCCTGCAGAGGTGGGCATCAGTGTCCCCGGAGGCTCGCCAGAACCCAGACCTCGGGGCCTTCCTAAGTGCAGCTGGTATGGGACAGACGTGCAAACAGTGTGTCTGTCCACCGGTACCCTAGGGAATCAGAGCCCTCGGTGATAGCTGTGTGCCCTCTTACCTAGTCACGGAGCCGGGAGAAACAAGAAAGGCAGATCAGCTTCAGGCTACTCAAAGCTATCACCTGCTGGTTTCAAGTCATGCCTGGGTCCTCCTCCCTCCCCCATCAGTTTAAACTGCAGAGGAGGAGGAGGAGCTTAGAAAAAAATGCAAAACGCAGTGTGTGGCATTCTGGTGGTCCAGATGAATCCTTCTCCTGTGTTTACTGTCCCCTCTTGTCTGGGCCTCTTCTCTATACTCTGCTTAATGGCTCCAAGCACCAGAGCCCACCCCTTTTCTTGTGAGAGGAAGGAAGGCACCCCTGACACACTTAGACACTGTGGGGTAGCAGGGCTACAACAAACACCCAGCGCCTCCCGAAGAGAAGGGCTCTGGGTGCTGGGCAGACTGACCTTTTCCATATTGAGGTCCTGTGCCTGCCTCTTCCCTTCCCCTTCCTGCCCCTCATCTGCTGAGCCACCTGGCAGACCAGAGGAGCCCCTGCTGGCCACAGCCTCTGGCCATTGCCTTCCTTTCCAGTCCCAGGCCCCTCAGATCCTATCTGAGAAGCCCCCTTCTTCCAGGCCCCTCCCCTCAGACAGCTTTCCTGGTCTTTGTCCCCACGGCATTACAGCCAACTCAAGGGTGTTTTAGCGTAGTGAGTGGGAAGCAGCCACTGTGTCGGGCAGCTGAGGGTTTCATGAAGGAGAGTGAAGTGTGGAGCAAGGCATTCTATCCTGGACTCTCAGACATTCCAGGGCTGACTGTGGTGGGAACCTGGGGAATGGAACGAGCCTGTGCTTGGAGTTGCTGCTTGTGATGAGACAACTCTCTCCAGTATCCTACCGGAGCTCAGTGGTGCACACCTCACACAACTACTTGACTGCTCACTGTGGGTCAGCTCCCCCACAGCGCCGGACACTGGACATCTCATGGGGCCCCCAGGGAGTGAGTGAAGAAAGAAGGCAGCGCCAACATGCAGGCGGAGGCAACAGAAGCCCCATGATCCATAGCCGTTCTCCACAAAGCTGCCCCCGGCATGCTTCCCACACCCAGCAGCTGGCATAGCATCTGGAGGGGTACCCAGGGTAGACTGGGAGAGTGGGATCTGTAGCTCCTGGTACTGTAGCAATACCATGCAAGGGCCCTCTTGGCCCCCTGCAGACTGGTCAGCTCCTGGTCTTCTTTTTTCTTTTTAATTATTTTATTATTTTGTGTTTCTGAGCACTACATACAAGCCCATTGCCTACAAGGACCAGTAGAGGGCGTCAGATCCCCTGGAACTGAAATTACACATGGTGGTGAAATGACACTATGGGAGTGCTGGGAATCAAACCAGGGTCCTACGAAAGGACAGCCAGTGCTCTTTAACTGCCACTCTCTAGACCCCTGTCCTCTTGATGATGGTGGAAGTGGGGAGTGGTGGCAGTGACGGTCACGGTGTGTGTAAAAGGGCACTCAGAACCAGGTAGTGACAAATGGGTGTTCATTCTCGGCTGCTCTTTTCCCAGGGCTGAAGACCTTCCTCTCCCATCAGTACTATGAAGGGACAGTGTCCTTCCTCCCAGCACAGCACACGGTGGGATCTCCCAGGGACAAGAAACCCTGCCGGGCCGGGTAAGCAGGTGCATTTCTCCATGGGTTTCCATTGTAAATGACTTGATATACACAGGGCTGTTTGGGAGCCTGTTTCTATTAGGGCAGTGGATGCAGAGGACTTTTTCCAAACACACAGGGGAGGCTCTGAGTTCCATGGGTTTGTGTAGAGCTTCCCAGTTCACAGATGCTTCCAGAAGACGCGCCTCCACGTCTCCATCCTGGTGATTTGCACAGCAGCTGTGTCCTCCCCGTGGTGCGGACTGAAGAGGGTGGGTCCAGCTGCACCCGCACCCAAATGAGAAATACGCACTGAGTCAGCGGCTCAGCTCTGAGTTACTAACTAACAGGAGCATAGGCTCATCACACTTGTTACCTGAGATCCGGGGCACTCTCACCCCAAATCCGTTTGATGGGTTTTGCACGTTCACCATTGGTGCATCCTGAGCTAGGCAACCAAGCCTGTCCTAGAGATGTTTGCAAGCCCTGGAGAAGGGAGCTGCTGGTTAGTAGGTGTGAATTTGGGTGTAATCTTGAGAGTTCAAAAGTAGTACGCTGAAGAATGAGGCTTTTGAAACCAGAGCCTTTTATTGCCCAAAAGGAGTTTAAATGCTTTTCTGTGTGCCCAGACCAGGGGCTTGGCTGTTTAATGCACTTGGACGCCTGCACTTGAGGCAAGGTGACCACGCTGTCTTTCAGGTGCTTCGTGTGCAGGCAGAGTAAGCAGCAGCTGGAGGAAGAGCAGAAGAAAGCCCTCTACGGCCTGGAGAATGCTGGTAATCGCTGCGAGCGTGTTCTTGTGTGTGCCTCTCAGTGCGCGACCTCTCCTGGCCATCTACTTCCTTGCCCTCTTTTCCTGCTTGTCTTGTGTCAGCTCTCGCTCTAGCTCCAGGCAGCACTGAGACAGCTCAGCTCAGGAGTTGCTAGGGAGCCGAGACATTTGTAGAAAGGCCTTCGATCACTGTCAGGAGGCTGGCCAGAGCGAAGGCTGCCGTTCCAGCTATTGTAAAATATGGGTTGGCAAATGCCCTGTTTGGGCTTCCCTGAATGAGTGCCTTCTGCCATATTCACCACAAGGTCTTTGTTACATTTCTACTCTGCAAGAACGACAGCTACAGTGTGTGAATGAATGCGCGTGTCATCTGCCTATAGTGTTGTCTATAGACTCTGAGATTGGAGTTTTGTGTAGTCGTCTCGAGCAAGCTATTCTTTTATTATTATTTTTTAGACTATTCAAGTCTGTGGCAACCATTCTCAGTCTATAAAGAGAGATGGTGGGCCAGATTGATCCCGGCAGGGGTCTTCTTGTCCTTGTTAAACTGCTGTCCAAAGGTGCTCTTGTCAGAGTGGGGGGGGGGGGGCAGAGAAATGACCTGGTCCCCATAAGACCTGCTGGGGTACTGAGTTGGGTGGCTGGGTGGTTCCATGGTACCTAGTCAGGCCAGAATGAAAGCCAAGAACACACAGGTGGGACAGCAGCTACTACCCCTCACGGCCCAGGCAGCCGCCCCTCACCCACATTGACCACAGCGCCCGCCCCTGTCTTCCGCAGAGGAAGTGGAAGAGTGGCAAGTGGTGTGTGGGAAGTTCCTGGCTATCAATGCCACCAATATGTCCTGTGCTTGTCCCCGGAGCCCCAGGGGCCTGTCCCCGGCTGCCCATCTGGGAGATGGATCCTCCGACCTCATCCTCATCCGGAAGTGCTCCAGGTTCAACTTCCTGAGATTCCTCGTCCGGCACACCAACCAGGATGACCAGGTGAGGTGGTGCACTCCTGCCCCAAGGTCATTTACATTTTGGGCAGTTCCTGCCGTACAGGGAAATTGTAGGATCTGTTGCTAACTCCAAGGAAAGATCTTTGGATGTGTATTTCACATGCCTTAAGCTCCTTGTCAGTCCCTTCATGTAAATTTTTCACTTAAAAATGTAAATCTAGGGGCTGGAAAGATGGCTCAGCAGTTAAGGGCACTGGTTGTCCTTGCTGAGGACCGGGGTTCAATTCCCAACACTCACTGATAGCTATTAATTGTGTATTACTCCAGTTCTAGGAGAGCCAATGACCTTTTCTGGGCCTCCATAGGCACCAGGCATGTACATGGTGCATATACATACATTCATACATGCAGGCAAAATACACACACAGGCAAAATACACACACACAAATTTAAAAATAAATAAGTTTCAAAAATAGAGAATTCTACAAATCACTACTAATGAGCCACAGGATTCTTTAGAGTATTTATATCCGTGGAGGAATAAAAAAATTTCCGTGAGTGTGGGGGGATCGGTTATCTGTACGTGGTGAGCACAATTGCCTGTGGAGACCAGAAGTGTTGAATTCCCCTGAAGCTGAAGTAACAGGTGGTTGTGAGCTGCCTGATGTGGGTGCTGGGAACCAAACTTGGGTCTTTTGCAAGACCAGTAAGAGCTCTTAACCCCTGAGGCTAGGTCTCTCTATCCTCAGACCTGAGATTGCAAAGGTATTGGCAGTTGTCTGAAGCTCCCGAGAGGGCAGTGCACATCTTGGCTCTAAGCTGTCAGATGGGGAGGACTGGGTGGCTTGGAGACACTGCTCTGGGCGTCTTTACAGGACCACGAGTCCTGGCTGGCTAAACCAGCAAAGCTGGAGCATTTATCTCACTGACTGACTGTCGCCCCCCACCACGTTTGCCTCGGCAGTTCGACTTCACTTTTGTTGAAGTTTATCGAGTCAAGAAATTCCAGTTCGTATCAAAGCACGTGGAAGATGAGGACAGTGACCTGAAGGAACCCGGGAAGCAGGGATTCGGGCAGATCTGCAACGACAGCCCCAGGTGCAGTTGCTTGGCCTCCAGAAGCTCCTGGAACTGTGACGGAGAGATCCTGCACAGCCCCACCATCGAGGTCAGGTGAGTGGCCGGGACCCCAGCCACCTGGCCAGAGGAGTGCTGTCCCCTCACAGACATCAACTGGGATTTGTGGCAGGAAACACTAGGCATCATCTCCCCGTGTCTTTATTCAGGTGTGGAAGCTGTGTGGCCTGAAGTTTGCATGGAGCAGGCGCTGACTTTGTGGTGCTGTGCATTGTAGACACATCCTGTGGGGTTTTAAGGCTTCCCTGCTCTATTCTCTCTCTCTGCCATATTTGGCATTCTGCCCTTGGTCTCTTGTCTGTCATAGTCACACAGCCCCTCTCTCTAGTTAAAAGAATAAGCAAAAGCGACTGGCTTCCTGGGTGCTTCCTAAGTCCTGGGTCTCCCCCTTCCCAAGTCACCCAGAAAGTATCTGGCCTCTGTGGCAAGGAATAGGTACTCATGGTGGGAATAAGCAGCACCAGGGGGCCGTCTGAGGGACTGGGAAGGGCGTCCTGATTCTGTTAGGCAAAGAGGGGGCAGGAGCCTCAGAGGGGCCTGGAGAGGCCACACCACACAGCCTTAGGGGACTCGAAAGCCTAGAGTAGCTCTTAAGGACATGTGCAAGAGCCTAGGGCCGGGTGGCTGGCTCTGCCTGACTTTACCCATTCAGTCCCGTCGGTCCCCAAGGGGAGCGGAGCGCAGAGTCACCCTCAGCTAAAGCTTTCGGTGTTCTTGGTGAACCTCAAAGCACGAGTCACCCCTGAAACTTGTTAACTAGAGCCCGAGCACCTAGCATCCAAGCTATGAGTAGGCTAGAGGAAGGCCCTCGTGCCTGCTCTCCATGGTCAGGGCGGCATTGTTCCCCAGCCTGTGGTAGAGAGCCCAAGAGAACGGAGCAAGGAAAAGCCTTTCCCCATATAAAGAATAAAGCAAGCTGTCTTTTGAAAACAGACCATTAGTAGCTGTGCATACTCGGAGGCCGTGGGAGGACTGCACGATTCTGGGTCAGCTGTGAGTGGCGGCACACATGTGAGGTTTAAATGCAGCTGTTTGTCCCTGCAGGGTCCACTGCCAGCTGGTACGCCTCTTTGCTCGGGGAATTGAAGAAGAGTCCTAAGCAAGAACCCCAAAGTTGAGGCGCCATCTACTTTGAGCTTGGGGAGTATGAAAATAATTTAAGAAAACTTTGACAGAGCAATTATGTTGACATATCCATTTGAACTTAGAGATTTATTTTTGATAGGTAAATCTTGGTTTTAGAAAAGACAGCTTCATCAGCAGTTCCATACCTGGTATCCATACCTGGCGCCCTTGGTTCTACGTGCATTGGAGTCGCTTTTCATAGAACTTGTTCTCAGTAAATGGCTCTTGCTGGTTTGGGAGCACCGGCGACATTTTAGCCATGCCAACCATGCAAATTTCAAGACGGCCCTTTAGTGGCCATACTGCAATAATTTTAGGGACATTACAATACAAATACTTCCCAGGAATCAGGTCACAGCATCTGGACACACGGGGGACGACCCAGTCACTCTGACCCCTTTGTGAGACTTTCTCTGGAGTTGTGACCAGGTTTGGGGAAGTTAGATGGCTTTCTTTGCTGTCACTTTACCCCCACCTCCTTTTATGATCAGGACGTTGCTATGTGGCCCGTGCTGAACGCCACAACCGTAACCTCCACAAAGCTGCGCCTACAGAGCAGGGCCATGTCACTGCAAGAAGATACCCAGGGTGACGTCTCATCCTCAGGACTCCCCACATCTGCTGCCATCACAGCCACGTCCTGGGAGACAATCCAGCAAAGTACCCACTGGAAGTTTTGTTCTGTCAGCCCCAGCAGCCTGCGCACTCTGGCCCAAAGGAGGCTCTATCTGGAATCAAAACACTTGGCACAACTGGGCTTTATGGGGGTTGGGGTGGGGTGGACAGAGGGCAGCTGGCATGCACAAAGGGTGCTTTGTGAATTTCTATACCACCCTCAACCTGACTGTCACCAGTGGGATGACAGCTGATCCCAGGTCGGCGCCTCCCCCACTCCCCCCAGGTACTTTGGTGCAAGCCCTGTTTCCATTCCCAGGGTCCACATCCATTTTTCCCTCACCATGTGTTCTGGTCCATGTACTTCTTGCCAGCTTTCTCCTTGTCTATCAGAGGGGTATAATCCGTGTCTTGGCTATTTGCTTTGTCTCCACAAGGGGACTGCTAGCTGCTCTGGCCAAAGCCCCCCGAGCTCATGATCAGTTTCCTCTGAAGGCATTCCTGACCCAGGGGCTTCTCAGCGTGGCCTGTGCCGTGTCTCCAGAGTTACGCGTCTGAAGCATGTGTGTAAAAGAGTTTTTATATGAAATTCAAGAATATGCAGCTTAAACTTGTCTTGCAAAGGGGGAAGGGCCATGACTGTTACAAGAGTGGGTTTTAGGTTCTGCATTAGGGAAAGCGTGCATCACACGCAGGCCCCATTGGTCACTCCAGAGTTCTGCAGGCCGCACCTGTTTCTAGGAGCTCTTGCATTGACTTACGTTTTGAAGCATATGTGAAATTTCTCTGTTTCTCAGTCCCATCCAGACAAAAGAAGCAGCTGCAAAGGAGGCTGTGCTTAGGGACCACGTTAAAGGGAATTGTGTGGTGGTGCTATTTAATGATTGACAGTCCAGTGAAAAGCTGGATAGAAAGAGTAAAGGCACTCAGCAATTTCTATCCAGGTCTGTTCTCGGATGGGCAGAAGCCAAAGGTGTCAGACTAGCAGCTCCTTGAGGAGGTAGGCAGCCTTGGAGCAGCACCAGGGCAGTCACTTGGCTGGCCGCCTCACTGCCCACTCACCCCTGGCATTCCATAGGGGCCCAGGGCCCGAGGCAGCCGGGGGTGCCCCTGGATCTCAGGAACTGCACTCTCCCCTCCAAGGACTCGGGTCTTCATTGGCCTTGCTACATGATGCCCGCGCCCTGGTCCGCCGCTACCACTCACTGCCAGTTCTAGAGGAGGGGTCCAGATAGAGGATGCTTTGACGGTGCTCGGTAGTGCAAGCCACGCTCAGAATCTCAGACCTAGGCGCTATCATGGAGCAGCGTGAGTGTCAGACACCTATGACCCTGACACTCGTACACAGGATGGTAAGGCGTCCCTGACACTCCCACACAATAGACTGTGGTCTCCATGATGCTTTTTAGATGCAATACCCCAACCCCGGGCCTTAGATATCTTAGGGGGGGAAAAACAGGAGTAAAGGTTAGGCAAAGGCAACTTAGGATCCTATAGGGGTTCTGGTCCATGTTTTAACTCCCTCTGTGGCCCACTGGTGCACAATTAGGCAGCAGTCATGTGCAGTAACTTATTCTCGTTTATCGAAACTAAACAGTGGGAATGGGGAGCAGCAGGTTTCCTAAGAGCTGCTCTAGTCCTCATCACAGTCTCCTGGAACCGGGAGCACTGACAAGGACAGCCAAATATGCCTCCTGATCCTGCTGGCTTCAAGGTTAGGAAGTGGCATATTTGATCTGATATGTTTGAGAAGACAAAAAAATAAAGTGATTTTGGGCAGAATGTGGTGTTTACTCTTTTATAAGTTCTTGTTATCTTCAAAGCAGTTTTATGTTTTTAAAGAACAGTTTAATGAGTCTGTGCTAAGAAACCGGATGATACCCCAGATATTCATCGTGCTCTCCCTGATAAATCTACCCCTCCCCCACCCTCCTTGTGGGTTGCTCTGCAGCCATTTTAACATCTGAGAAGTCCCTTCCTGGGTAACCTGGGATGTGGCTCACATAGCATTATTATTTAGCTAGTAGGTTCTGCAGTTTGCCTGAAGGAAATGCGCCAGGTGTTGCTTCGTGACTCGTTCTTTTACTGACACAGCTGTGCTTCTGAGGTGCAGCTGCGCCAGGTACAGCACGAGCACCCCATGTCCACACAGCTAGCCACAGTAGCACGCGTGGCCCTCAGACACTCCACCTGGCCTAAGGGAACCAGGTGAGGGCCACAAACAGGACTAGGTGTGGTGGCACTTGTGGCTGAGAGGTCACACTACAGGCGCAGGAAGGACAGCTGTAGAGAGGCAGAGACGTGCCCAGTGCCCTGTGCTCCCAGGAGAGCTGCAAGTGTCTATTTGCCAAGATCCTAGGGGCTTTGACTGGGCTGTGTCCCAGCATCAATACCAATGTGTGGTGTGGCTGAATGAAGGCTGGGTGGGTGGGTGGAGAGAGGAAGAAATAAGATGGATGGATGAATAGATAACGTTTATGTGTATGGAAGTATGGATAGGTGGATGGATGGATGTGAGGATGGGTCAGCAGATAGATGATGGATGGGTGAACACACAGAACATGCAAATGGCCAACCTCCCTATGGCCACACTCCTGGGTACCCACTGGTCATAGCCCCCTTCCAAAGAGATTTTGGCAGCTTCCTGGGGGCTCATTTGGAGTAGGGGTGGTGCGAGGCACCATCAGTGTGCCTATCCAGGTTGGACTCTCAGGTTTTCTCATATCCCTCTGTGTGCAAGATCAGCATCTGAATCAATGAGGTCACAGCGTTGCTGAAGACCATTCTGCTCAGGACCCCAGGCTGGCAGAAACCAAGGCTCAGTGGGACCAATGCCTACACTGCAGCCTGGTCCAGCCTTCCCTTGCACACCCAGGGCCAGCCCCTTCTCCTCTGGCCTGTCCTTTAGGACGAAGGGACAACCTCCTGTTCCCAGCCTCCTTCACACCAGGGGCGCCCTAGAGCAATCACCACCCATTCCCCGGGTCATACCCAAGCCTTCATTCTCCCAGGTAGTTTTTGTGCTGACTGCTAACTGCCCTGGTGGCCATGAGGACTCTGGTGCTGTGAACATCTGGGGGCCACCCAGATGCTCTACTAACCAACATCTACACACTCTCCTAAGAACAGAGGCCCCTAGACTTAGCACAGAGCATTTTAGGTTTATTAAATAAAAATTATAATTTATACAAGACTTTGTATCTAAACAAGGTTGTCTTTTAAAAAAAAAGTGACAGAGATTTTTTTTTCCTATCAGTTCTTTATAGAATATGATCCTTTTGTAGAACAAAAGTTACACCAGTAACAATTATGTACATATCCAAAACAGACTCAAGCTTCAGACATACAAAAATTGAACATTCTAGGTCAGTGATTAGTCAGCAATTAAACACCTGCCCAGATCACACAATCCAGTACAGACTCCAGTGTCTCTGTAAGTATGTGTAGATCCTGTCTAGCTCTGTCCCCCTGGGCTCCACCCAAAGACCCGCTGGTGGCCAGCTGTGGAACTTGGGGCCACCACTTACTCCCCGCTCCCTAACCAACTACCCTAGCCCATGGTCAGTCTTCATCTCTCTTTCCTAGAGAAAGAGACTCAAACTAAACCGACTGTTCCACTCGCCCGTTCAGCTCAAGGCCTCTGTGTGGCACCCCGGTGGCAGCACTTGCCAACCAGGGCACTGCCAGGGTCTATAAAGCATTAACCACCATGAAGCCATCCCCAGAGACAGGTCAGAGGCCAGCTGCCTCCCATCTGGCATGTTGGGGTGTCAGCAGGTCCTCCCTTATCTCCCCTCATGCTCTTCAGAGCATGAGCATATTACAGGGGCCAAGCCCTGGGTGGAGGGTCCTAACTCCATGTTCAGACTCCTCCTCCAGCCATGGACCTGGAGCAGTGTGGCCTTGGCTGCACATCTGGGGTGGTATGTGTGCTTGTGTGTGGCCTGAAGCCCCTGGGAATGAGGTGTCATGAGCCCAAGCCACCAGGCCTCACACCCACAACCAGCAAATGAGGATTGGAGCAAAGGTAAAAATTACATTTGAAAAATGATACAAAAATAAGAAAGACAGCTTGCTCTCTGTAAAAAATATAATCTTCTGTTTCTTCAAAAAAGCAATCTCAGTGACGTTTGAAGGACTCAGGACAAGCTGAAGGAACCAGAGTGTGGTTCACCTGGGAAATGCACAGGTGGGGTGGTGGTCGCCCCCTTCAGAGGCCCGGGCCTATAAGATCACCCTCCCTTGAAGTCTCCACCTTTGCTGGGGCAGGGAGCATGGATAGGGTGGGGTCTGCCTGGCCCTTGCTGGGCTCGCAGGAAGAGGGAATACTGTTAAATGTTAGAGGTACAGGGCAACTTGGGCCCCCCAACCTCTAGGCTCTGCCCACAGCCATCTCCTGTGGCACAGGGCCCTCCCATATCTCCCTGACAGACCCTCAGGCCAGTTCCCCTAACCCATCCCATTACCCAGAGTGGCTGCAGCCTGGAGGCCAAGTGCCAGCCAGACGACCACCGACCACCATGTCTCTCACTTAAGAGCAGCCAGAGTGGAGAATGCCCCCTAAACCTTCCCAAAGAGCGCAGTGTTTAAAAGGTGTGCTTTTGCCAACACGCCGTTCTGGACCCTAGCCGGCCACCAATTACTGGCCTCTTGGTTGGAGTGTCAAGCCAAGATGGGCCAGATGTGTGATAGCTCAGGCCAAGACACCGAAAATGGAGGGGGAGGAACCCCAAACCCCAAGCCCTGAGGGGCCCTACCCACAGCCTCGCAGTGCCCACAGTTAGGTCCAGCGTGGGAGGAGGGTCTGAGGGTGAGTGAGATGACTGGCCGTTTCTTCGTTGGAGAGTGGCCTCCCCGCCATTTCTCTCTGTCTTACCATCCTGGCAGGAAGGGGCTACAACCACTCCCAGCTATGACTTTGGTGGAAAAAAGCCTCTAGCCTCTGAAGAGCAGGGGTCATAATATCAAGGGGCCTCTCGGGACGGCAAGTGCTCCGTCTGTACCCAGGCCGGGATGGAGAGTGAGGAGCTGTGCTTAGCGGGGGCCTGAGGACGAGTGTCCTGTGTGCCACCCTTCAAACAGGTTAAGAGGATCCTCTGCCCACCTGTGTCCACAGGTGTCCACGAAGGTGCTTCACGCGCTCAGCACGGGCCAGCCCGGCACCATTTCCATGTGAGTTGCAGCCCTTTGGGTCTGCAGAACCCAGGGCCAATGTAACCAGCCACACAGTCCGGGAGAATTATTGCCAAAGATCGTGAGGACAGCCCTATCAGTTCCTCTAGCCAATGGTTGGAAAGGATTCCAGCAACGCTTCGGAGTCAATACTAGCTGTCGCCGCCAGAGGCTGCTGCAGACGTGATTTTCAAGTACTGGCCGAAAATGGTCTCAAAGGCTTCGTCTCTGTGTACCATGGCACCGAACACCAGGGGCTGGCAGGGAGGAAATGGAGAGTGGGGGAATGAGTGCTTCATAGCCAGGCTTGGGCTAGAAGAGCCCCTGTTAGGAGACCAGGGCAGCAGCCAGGCAGGCTGCAGATGACCTGGAAAATCAAATATTCCTCTCACTGCTTCATCCAGCCCGAGAATCCAGCCTGAGGACCCTGCATGCAGGATCCATTCTCCCTGGGCCTCACCAAACTGTCTGTCCTATAACTCTATGAAGCCCACCCAAGCTAAGCTTTCTGGACCTTGATTCCATGCAGCAGGCTCTTGGGCTGACAGAGAAGAGAATCTCCCCCCAAGTTGAAACCATGTCCCAGGGAGGCTCACTCAGGTCCCCTGGCAGCAGCCAGAAGTAGGGGTGGAAGGAGGGGATGTCATCTGCCAGGCACTTACTTTCTGCGTTGATGGTGTCGATACGGCAATTCCCATGCCAGAGCCAGGGAGGACGGACAAGACTTTGTACTGAAAGAAAAACAGCACAGCCATTACCAGCAGCTTCTCCCAAGGACAGGAGTGAAGCCAGTTCCCCACGTGCCCAGAGATCTCTTGAGGGTCCTGTCTAGTACTAGGACTGTTCCTGACTAGGCTGCCAGCCTGGACCCGGGCTACTCAGCTGGGGAGGCTGGTCCGTCCCATGCTCAACAGATCCTTCCTCTCTCTGTTCCAGAGAACAACCCTTCCCACTCTCCAGACACGGCACACTCCACACGCCAACCCTCTAGGGAAACTACTAAACCTCACTACGTACATACAAATGCTTGTGTGCTTGTTTATAAGGGCCCATGGCAGGAGCCCAACATTTCTTGGGGGGGGGGGTATCAGATAGAGGTGGAAAGTTCATGACAGAACTTCTCAGACTCTCCTTTCAAGACACAGGAAGGGCTGACATGTGGCTCAGCTGGTAAAATGCTTGCTTAAGAGGAATGAAGGCCTGAGTTTGATCCTCAGCAACATAACACAAACAAACAAACAAACAAACACCCACCACCACCACCAACAAAAAATCCTGGGTTCAAGGTTAGCCTGGACCACACGAGAGCGGAGGTCAGTCAGACGTCGTGATGCCCTTTTCTGCATTGTATGATGGTTGCCAGGCCAGGTGCTGACTCCCAGGGACATGGGAGAAGTGAGGCTGCACTTGGTATCTCAGGAGGAAGCTGACAGGGCTCCGCACAGAGCCTTCCCGAAGTCAGGCTGAAACAGCCGTGGCGGCAGCACTTGGACTCATAGCTGAAAACCTGTCTGTGGCCCCAGACTGTGAGCGTGGCAGGAGGGGTGGGCACCCACCTTCTGGATGTCTGTGATGTCTACCAGTTTGATCACTTTGTTCCTCTT